AAACTGATCCTGTGCTTTTCCAGCTTTCACTGAAAATACACCTTCATTTCCCAGCCACCTCTGGAATTACTGATCTTAAGAAACAACCCTGAGACTTCCTGATCCTCCAGTGCCAGCATTTGTGCAACCAGATACTGGCAAGTCCCCTTAGGAACTGAGAGGCCTCTGAAAATGGGTCTCCCTTCACCTGGAATTTCAATTTCCCATCACGACTACCTGGAACTCTTAGCTCCCACTACCTGGAACTCTTAGCTCCCCCTGTGCAGAACTTTTACCTCCCATGACCTAAACTTCTAGCTTCCATGACATGGAACTTTTAGCTGCCATGATCTGAACTTTCAGCTCCCACTACCTGGAACTTTCAGCTCCCATTACCTGGAACTTGTATCCCTCCCGGCAGATGCAGCAGGTCAGTCCTGGCTCCTCTATCAGCTCCTCCATCTGTTTAAGCAGCGCAGTCTTGGTCACCACCTGGCCCTTCTCATTTGTCTGGAAGAGAGAAAAGCTCAGGCAGGTTAAAAAGAATGACAAACCACAGCATGCCCACCAGGCACTGGAATGCCCATCCCATCTCCCAGCAGCTGTGTTCCCCCCTGGCAGCACCAGGCAAACCAGGGGCTGCAGCTCTGCAATATCCATCAATGAATCACTTCACACACTTCCTGCTGAGGCAGTTGGAGCAAGGCAGGAAGAAAAGCCCCTGAATGAGCAGAGCACCCAGCCATTACCGTCATGCCCAGGGTGCCCAGGGCCTTCTGCCTCATGGCCATGGCCATCCTCTTCTTCTCGGCGCGCGTCTCCTTCCGCGCGGCGTCGATCTTCTTGTTCACCTCTGGGTGCTCCCTCAGAGCCTCCAGGAGGTTCTCTGCCAACGTCCCAATGCCTTCGTCACTCGACACCTGCTCCAGTTTGTGCAGGTTGGTGATGGAGTCTGTTCCTATTAGCACCTGGAGGGGATGGGAACACAGCACTGCTCAGGAAAAGGGAACTGGGGACAGTGACTGTCCCCTCCAATCCCACAGGGGCAGCTGGGCAGAGCACTGAGCTGCAAGTGTTCCTTCCTTTCTTAATGCTCCTGGGCCCTGAAAACTGTGTGTAAGTCTGGGGCAATTTGCCTCTCTACTGGTCATTATCAGCTCAGATGGGGATGTAGCATAAAACATTTATTTTGTGGTAAGACATTGTATTGATGCCTTCAAACACCAACAATCATGTCCTGAGTAGCTTATCAATAATTATCTTGTCTTCACAATGGTGTGTCAATCTCACACCACACAGCAGGAGGAAATATTCAAGTCAGAATCTCTGACTTTTCCAGATGATGCCTGAAGCTGCTGAGCAGAGGCTCAAGGCATCAAGACAAGGACACGAAGTCTTGTTATGTGACACACAAAACTCAGAGGAGGCTCTGCAAAGGCAGAACTTGCCCAGGGAATACCTGAACAGCTTCCACACCTACGCCTACTTTGAGATTCCCGATGGGCTTTCACATTCTTCTAACAGGTAAGCAAGCTCAGGAGAACTGCATTTTCTCTCTGCTTTATCCCCCAAAGACAATTCCCTTTAGACTAGAACCAACACCTTCCAGCAGAGAGAAGTTGTGAGCAAAACTGTTCCAACGATGGCGAGGATGGCAAAACAAAACCCAACAAAAATCAGTGTAGAACCAACTCTTAGAGGAATTGCTCCTGAGCTGCAGCCCCAGAGCAGAGACAGTGCAGGCACGTGCCCCTGGCTCACCTGTGTTGCAGGGTGCTGCGTCGCGAGGCCTCGGAGCAGGCGCAGGATAAAAGGAAGTGCAGGTCGAGATAAGAACCTCTTCCATATGTCTGCATCCAAACTGCAGGGAAGACAAAAGGTAGCAGCTGAGGGGAGTGTCCCAGACAGCAGCAGGCTCCAGGAACACTCCCTCCCCCGTGTCCCTCCTCAGCTCATTAATGAAGGGACGGTCACACTCCCACTTCCATGCTGTGCACAGCCACAGTGCCAACTCTGAGCCTGGGGATTTGTGCTCATGAGTTGGCTACCAACAGCAAAAACTCTGTTGCTGTGCAACAGGAAGGAATGGGCAGGAAACGCAAGGATTGAGATATCCAAGGAATCAGCTTGGACGGGTATCAAATGGGAAGATTTCAGGGGTTTTAGCTCATCGCCATACGTGCACTGCCTCACCAGACCTCTGCATCACAGCTCTGAATGCTCCTGAATGGGCACTTGTTCATGGATTTTTTGGGAGACTGTGGTGATGGGATGAGGAGGATGTTCAGGACAGTCACACACATTAAACAGTGATTCTTACTTTTTTGCACTTGGAATGTGCTTTTTCATATAATCTAGGGCATTCTGTGTAATCCCCTTCTGCAGGATGAGATCTTTCAGCTGATGACCGTTGCTGTTGTTCTTTATTCCTGCTGCTATTTTACAGAAGCAATCCAGGAAAACTTTATCATCTCCACTGTGCTCCTCATCATACCTGAACAAAGAGAAGAAACAGTAACTCTGCCTGTAATTTTCACTGACATTATCACTGAATTATGTACCTGCCCAGCTCAGAGACTCAGAAAAGCTACTCAGGCCCCTGTCACCTCAAAATACTCTCTGAAGACCTATTTCTCAAGCTAGACGTCACACATTTCTTTCAAAAATGGCTTAGAAGTGAAAGAGGAAATGAAGCTGAAGCCTGGCATTACACTGGAGTGGAACCCATGAGGAAATGAAGGCAGAGCCGTGTCAGTAGAACTGAATTCAGGTGCTTTCAGCTGAACTGTGCCAACGTACTTATCGAAGTTACAGTAGGGCTTGAAGCGATCCACCAGGATCTGCATCTTCTCCACCTCCCCGAAGGACAGGTAGGGGATGATGCGCAGCAGCCCCTGCAGCACGCTCAGGTTGGAGCGCACAAAGGTGCTGTTGATCTGGTCCAGCAGCATCACCAGCTGGTCCTTGTCCCCCGTGAGGAGGAGGTTGCCCTGTGAAGGAAGAGCAGCAGGATTTATAGTCAGCAATTAATTAACAAGATAAATCTCACCCTGGGAGCTGGTGGACTACTCCAGTTGTGAGGGGGTAGTCCCTGATAAAAATAAAACTCGGTCTTGTGGAATGGCTGCACCAACCCCTCTAGCTGACACTTGGCTTATTCCATGTACTGTTAAAGCATTTTCTAGCCAAAAGCCTAATAATTTCAACCAGATTCCTGTCCACCCACAGCTACAAAAGATGAGTGAGAAGCTCTTCTTGTTCTCAGTCTAGCTGAGATACAGTTTTATTCTCAATTAGCTGGAAAATCAATCATGTTTTCAACACATACAAAAACACTCCAAAAAACAAGGCCAAGCTGTGTCTTTTCTTGTCTCTCCCTGGCCTGTGGCCCAAAGCAGGCAGGAAAGGATCCAAGCAGTGCCTAACAACCCTCACCCAACCGTGCAAGACTCATCCTGACACAGCCTCGCAGTGCTTTTGGTTCAGGGCTCTCCTTGAGCCCTTCCCCAAGGCCTGCTAAGACCTGCCAGAAGTGTAATGAGGGTCAGACTCCAGCAGCACTCCCCTCCAACTCCTGGAGCCCAGCATCCCTGTGGGCAGGGCTGTGCAAGCCTCGAATCCCAGGGAAAGGAGCTGTGGGCACTCACCTTGTCCTCGCTCAGCGGTTCCGCGTTGGATTCATCCAGAATGATCTCCATGATGCTGAGCACCTGCTCTGCCACTGCTGCTCCCCCGCTGTCCTTGCTCTCCTGCTCAGCCACCAGAGCCTGCAAGACATGGGAGCGCTCGGGGGAACAGCAGCAGGAACTGGTTTGAGGTGGGAGCACTCAGGGGAACACCAGCAGTCACTGGTCTGATGCAGGAAGAGGCACTGGAACACCAGCAGTCACTGGTTTGAGGTGGGAAGAGGCACTGGAACACCAGCAGTCACTGGT